TCGGCAAGAAGGAACAAATGCGCGCACGATTGGCCTCCATGAAGCCGCGTATAAGCCCGCACACGTATAATGTATATATATATATATATAATACGTATATAAAAAGAGGAAATCAAACGGACCCGCTAGAATAACCCCCTAGAGACGGTACAAAATATCTGATTGACATGTACTTCTCGCCCCGCTTCTTTTTTTTTTTCTTGCAACGACGTCACGCGATTTATATATATATATATTTTTTTTTCTTCATATATATCTATCTATCTGTAGATATATGTGTGTGTGTGTGTATATATATATATATACTTCTTCATATTTTATATATATTAATTTCTAATATCCTTACATGAATACCACTCTATATATATATATATATATGTGTATATATATACGTATATGTATGTATATATGTATATATACATATATATATATATAATATGTAATAGCGTACTGCCTACTGATATGTGTTAGTTCACTTGTAAAGCACTTTAAAATTCAATCTAACGACTCGTCGCGCCGGTGGATCACGGCCGGTAACGAATCCGCCTCTTAACGGCTAATTACAAAAATTAACGAGCTATGAATACACCGAATAATGTTTGTCGCGCCGCGTCCTCCTCGCAAACCCTTCCTAAATCGACAATCGTGTACGCTCGCGCGACTCGCGGCCGCGCGCTGTCTAAAAAGCTTGTCTTTTCGTACTTCTCGCTCTGTTTTATTCCACCCACCCTTCCCTTCCTATCGACCTGCTGTTCCCTCTACATCTCTCTCTCTCTCTCTCTCTCTCTCTCTCTCTCTCTCTCTCTCTCTCTCTCTCTCTCTCTCTCTCTCTCTCTCTCTCTCTCTCTTTCCCCCTCCCTCTCTTCTCTCTCTTTGCCGGATATTTATCTCATCCGTGGGTCATCCCCGACGGATTCGAAACTCTTAACGAGTCTCCGGAGTCTCTTTCTTTGTTCTCTTTTCTCCGCTTTCCTCGTTTTCCTCTTTATTCTTGACACTGGCGTATCCCATTAACCCTTTGCGCTCGGATGTAATTTATACTTTTTCCTCCTTTTCTAATTGCAAAATACGCGTCTAGGGTACTATCGTGTACCTTTTGAAGAAGAAATCGCGAGCCAATGCGCAACCCTGGCGCTTTCCAAGCGCGCGAGCGCGAAACCGCGCCGCGTTCGCGATAATTCGTTTCCCTTTCTAACTGAAAAATGTATCATGCGTCATTGCCGTTTAATCGCATTGTTGCATCGTGTGTGATGGTCTGTTTATTTCTGAATATCCGAATTACATCGCCGCTGACGCTCCCGCGCGAGGAAAGGCTCGGCTCGGCTCGGCTCGGCTTGGCTCATCTCGCCGCGCCGTGCTCTCCAATTGTAAAACGTGTAAGGCCTCGATTTTCGATTGCAACTTAAATTACACTTTCGTAAATCACAAATTCGTCAGGATGACTCGGCTGGTTAGCCGTTGCGTCGTTGAATTCAAAGTGCGCAACCGTGCTGAATGTCGATCCTCCTTCGGCCGACAATTCACGTTAACGCGTGCAAAGTGTGCGACTCGGGCGGGGGAGTGCAAAGGGTTAAGGCGGCAACTCGAGCCGTTTGAATAACCATGAGGTTATTTTCTTCGTCTCCTCGCTTTCTGCTTCTGCTACTCGCGCAAAATATCACGCGTGCGCCTTGATATACCGTGTGCTCATCAAGTCCCGATATCGTAAGGTGATTCTGTTTATGTGGCTTTCGTTTCTCCTCCTTTCTCTCCGGTCGCTCTTTGTAGAAAAATAAAGAACGTGCTTTCGCGATCATGATCGCTTGACGATCGATGATGACGACGACGACGACGACGACGACGATGATAAGGGGCGATCGTCGTGATATCGCAGTTTTCTCTGCGTCTCCTCTGTGAATCGGTGGTTGTTCCTACTTTTGGAGTAATCTCCACTCGTCGACTGCGGATGCGTGTGATAAATGCCCAGTAATGCAACGGGGGATGGAAAAGGGTTGGTCGTGAAGGCGGAGAACTCGCCGGCGGGAGCTGCGGGGGGGGAGGGGATCGCCACGATGTTCGTCCCGGTTATCTTTCTCACGAATCTCATTTTTCTTTTCCGATGATTAGTTCAATGTTCATGTTAATCGCGTCTTTCGAAAACGCTTTTGAAAAATTAAAAAAGAAAGAAGGAGACGAAGCGACTGCGAATATATCAATATTCTCTTTTATAATTCAGAGAAGAAGAGATGAGACTCTTTTTTTCTGTACAAACGGCAGCAATTTTCCTTTTTAACTTTATATCCAAATAACATTATTATTTTTTATTATTATCTCTGTACAAACAATTTTATCTCTATATAAATGTCGCGAGTGCCAGCAAGAGACACAGTTCTTGATAAAGATTTTCGACGTCCTTCGGATAAAAGTTAAACGTCCGAGAAATTACATTTTGCCGATCACGTTGAACTCGACAGAGTTCGCGCAAGGTACCGCTGTTGTCGAGCTTCTCTCGCGACCGATTCACAAATTCGCAATTGCCGGCAGATATCGCGGAAAATCGCGAAACCATTGTTAAAACCCTCCTCTCTCTCTCTCTCTCTCTCTCCGCGGCACAGACAGAATAAATAACCCTACGATCCGAAGATGCGTTCACGTGCATTTCGCAAAGGTAAGAAACTCCGGGCACATCAAAGAGAGTAGCTGCCGGCTACGACAGCCATTACAGATTTTTGCGAGCTCATTCGGCTATATCCCCGTAAACAGGTTCCTACTGGAAGCCGAAGAACCACCTTTGATCCCGGGATCATTACGAGATCTTCAGCGCGATCCTCGTTGTAGTTTTCCGCTGCCGAAAGAGCTGCGGGCAGGGAGAGGGCGGGAG